TCAGAGATAATATTTGTCTTTTTAAAAATTTCCTCCTGCTAATCTGGTTTACATGTCTTATACATGAAACAAAACTACGAATACAGGGAAATGGACAAGTTGGAGTGAATGCATTCTGCTTGTTTAAATATTTACATCCAAATAGAAGTAAGAGGTGGCTCATTCTACGGAGCACGCCCACTCCTTTCTCTCTCCCTCTCTCGCAGGCCCGTTTTCCTTGCCTCTCTCTTTCTGCTAAGCTCCAAGGGCCCTTCTTTTGCCTCTGAAACTTGTTCCCTGAGCCCACAAAGCTCAGAAGGCTCACTTCTTCCACAGCTCACTTCTTCTACCTCTGTGACTTTCTAAATAAACTTTTGCTTTAATTTGAACGAATGAATAAATAAAGTAAGTAAGTAAGGAACTTCCCTCATTTTTTTTAAACTTAGAATAAAAATCTAAAACGTACAAGGGAAGAAACCATGAGAGTTGCCTTGCCAAAGACCTATAACATCATGTCATGTTTTAGTTTCCCTCCCTTTAAAAAGTCATTCCTTTTATAGTTTAACCTATCTAACGGCCAAACTCCTTTAAAATCTCATTCTCTTCACTGCGCCATCCTCTATCTGGTGTGCTGTCCTACTTGCACTATTCTAATTTCCTGTCCATTATTCAATTTAGTAAACACTTATTAACGCAATAGGTAAGGTAAATGGTTCATATTATCCAGTTGTTTGTAGTCTGGTAGTTTGATCTGGTTATAAAAAAAGCAAAATGTGTAATAAGGGAAATGCACTGACTACCGAGGTTGAGAAGCATCTATTAGAAACATCAATAAAGGCTCAATGAGAATGGGTCTGATAGAACCATTAAGGCCTGAATCAAAGCTCTACCCATTATTGCTAAGTGACCTTGGACATATTACTGAACTTCTCTGAACCTCATTTATAATCATCATTATTAGATTATTATTGTCAAGTTTATTTGTTATTATTATTATTTTTATCCTCACCAGAGGATATTTTTGCATTTATCTTCAGATAGAGCGGGAAGGAGAGCGAGGAAGAGAGAGAGAGAAACATCGATGTGAGAGAGACACACTGACTGGTTGCCTCTCACACGACCCTCACCAGGGCTGGGGACAAACTGTAACCAAGGTACATGCCCTTAGCAGGAACTGAACCCGGGCCTCTCTGGTCCGCGGGCCGATGCTCTAACCGCTGAGCCAAACTAGCCAGGGCTATTGTCAAGTTCATAATGAAACATCACTGGGAAAATGTTATACAATGTGAGATATGTTTATAAGCACCTAGGAAACGGCAGTAATTATAGAGTAAGAGCGATGTTGTCACAAATATGTTGTTGTAACAGGATTGCCGTGGTCTGCTTACCAGCTTCTCCATTTACTAGCTATGCAAACCTAGGCAAATCACTTAACAAATCTGTGCCTCATTTTCTTATCTATATTATGGTAATAATAAAAGTATCTACCTCATTAGAATTCTGAAGAGGACCAACTTGATTATTTCATGTAAAACTCTTCATATAAAAACATTCATGTAAACCTCTGCAACATCTGTAAACACCTGAGACATGTTCACTACTTTGATTATCATTATCTTTGTCATTATTATGGTTTCAGGAGATAGGATGTCAGACAAGTCTTAATAGGCAGGAAGTATTAAAACAAAAGTATTAAGAAGAAATCCCCAGCCAAGGGTACAGCAAGAATAAGAGCAGGGAAGAATGGAGCAAAAAGTCTGTTCAAGGCTCAGAAGATACAGTTTGACCAGAGAATAATAAAGTAGGTAAGAAAACTAAAGGTGGAAGACAAACACTTGATTGCAGAAGAAATTGATGCAAGACTGAGGCATCACTAAATACTTCATTACCCAACCAGGAGTCTTTCAAGATTTCAGAACAGAGGAGTAATATGACTACTGTTGCATTATATTAACCTGGTGGCATTGGTTTTGGGTAAATCAGAAGGAAAAAGAGGCAGGAAGTTTTGTTAGGTGGCTCTGCACTGTGTTAGTAAATAGTTAGGGAGCCTGAATCTGGGCATTCCAAATAAGAGTAGAAAAGAGGGGACAGGTTCCTAAGCTGTAGATCCAGAATTTATAGGACTTGGCAACTGTTTAGAGGTCGAGGCTCTGGAGAGGAAATCATAGAAGAAACTACCTGAGAAGCAGATCAGAGACAGATGGGTTATGAGTGAGAGTTAACTGGGAGTTGAGACCACAGATCATTCTTTAGGAAGGGAAAAGCTGTGTTGGGTCTAGACAAAGTAAGGCTGAAAACTAGCTATGATAAGAGAAGCAGCCCAATGGGAACGAGAAATGAAATGTCACAGTCAGTTAATGGGAAGGAGCAACCAAGGTGCACACACTAAATGGCAATGAACCAAAAGCTACTTTGTGAAAAGGAGTGCAGCCAGCAAGTAAAGAGGGATGGGATAAAGCTTATCAATCTAGGCTCCTCATCTTCCTGGGGGAGGTACTGAGCCCTTGGGGATGTGCTTGGAGCTCCTCCTCTCTGCCTCAGAGCACCTGGTGTAAACTCTATTCAAGGTCTTATCACAGGGGAGTGGAATTGTCTGTCTATCATACACACTGGTCTCTTGGCAGAAACTGGCAGTGCCTATCTTCTCAATAAATACTTAAAGAATGAATGAATGAACAAGTTAATGGCCCTTAGAACCTCAGTCAGCCATGTCACCTTTGCATCATAAGGTTCTTTCCAGCCTCATACATTGGTCTCTCATGTACAAATTTCTATGGCTCATCCTGCCTCAAGTAGAGACCAAATTATCTTGTTCTTTGTCCATTTGCCTTACTAGCATTTTATCAGACTAATGTAGTGCATAAATGGTTTCAAATGTGTTCCTAAAATCCTATGGATTCCATGAAATATGCTCTCCCACCCCACTCCATCCCACAGTCCAGTCATACAAGTTGGTGGGGAAGGAGAAAATAGAGGTCATACTTACATTCGTTGTGTAAATAAACCATCATTGTGAGACTGTAATTTTAAAAAAGGCATCTGAACCCTGGCTCAGGGGTTAGAGTGTCACGGGTTCAATTCCCAGTCAAGGACATGTATCTGGGTTGCGGGTTTGACCCCTGGCCCTGGATGGAGTCATGCAGAAGACAACCAAATGATGTGTCTCTGTCTCTCCCTTCTTCCCTTCTGCTCTATCCAAAAATCAATGGAAAATTATCCTCAAGTGAGGATTAACAAAAGAAAAAAAGAATCTAAGGTTTGTTTGTTTGTTTTTCAGTTGAAAATACCTTATCCAGCCTTTAAACTATCAGTTTCATATAAAGTAAGTCCTTTAGTTTATGTTTAAATTATTGTTCAAATACCTTAAATGGCCAAATAAGGTTCCAAAGCCTTCCACCATTTTCTCACCAAAGTGGAGAGAAGTGAGGCACGGGAACGTCCCCCTTCTCCCAGTGTGGTTCATTTTCTGCAGCATATTATGTTTTCTAAGCATGGACCTGAAGAGTTATCCTCCAAGAAGCCAAGGAATACATTAACACAGGCTGTCCCTGTGAAAACCAAAGGTTTAGTGCAGCTTCACACTAAGTTTCTGTTTTAATTGACTTGGGATGGGCGCCAGTCAAGCACTGGTGTGCCAAAGCTGGCTCCTGACGCCAATCTGTACGCATCTCTCCCCAACTCAACATTCACTAAAACCACGTTTGTAGCCTAAAACCCACCATGCTAGGAGTATTTACCTCATAGAAACCTGCAAATGCTACAAATCAGGGCTTTTTTTCTGCCCGAGATCCAGTATATCAGCAGACAATTAGAAATGTGTTATGTTCTCTACAAGGAATTAAAGTATAACTACGCTTGAGAACTACTGCACAGAAAGGAATATACTAAATGAATTAATTCTGGGATCATCTGATATGTCTACCATTATATTAACTTCAATACCTGGTGCCACTAACATGTAATATTTTATACACTCAGTGCACTTCAAAAAATCTTTATGTAAGCTGTATTTTTAATTGACTCAGATTTTTAACATTAAAAAAGAGTTTGCTAATTTTTTAATTAAAAGTTTAAGCATAGCCCTAGTCGGTTTGGCTCAGCGGTTGGAGTATCGGCCTGCGGACCAGAGAGTCCCGGGTTCAGTTCCCGCTGGGGGCACGTACCAAAAAAAAAAAAAGTTTAAGCATATATTTTTGTAATCATAGAATTTGAGTGCTGAAGGGACTTACTTTAAGAAGTAATCTAGCCCAATTCTTTCAGAATTAAAAAATAGAAGACCACTAAGATCATAGAAACTGAGACTCACTCATATCTCTAAGCAATGCAAAGACAGTGCCAGAACTGTAATGTCTGTCTGCCATCTGACCACCTGAACTTCCATATGAGTTTATATGGCAGATTTGTTTTTTTAAAAAAAGAGAAGTCCAGCCAGTGTGGCTTAGTGGGTTTAGCGTCGTACCATGGACTGAGAGGTCCCAGTTTGATTCCCGGTGAGGGCACATGCCCAGGTTGCAGGCTTGATCACCACTAGGGAGCATGCAGGAGGCAGCTGATAGGTGTTTGTCTCTTACATCGATGTTTCAATCTCTCTCTCCCTTCCCCTCTCTATAAAAATCAATAAAAAATATATATTTAGAATTTTTTAAAAGAAGAGAGAAAGAAACAGTTCCATTATGACTTCTCAGTTCTAATTTCAAGATACCTGTTAGAGTGGTAATAAGGTCTAATAAGAAAATTCATACTTTTGAGTGAAAATATCAATACATAGCCTATGTGAAATAATGAAGTAGAGCACATATTTCATACTTTATCGTCTGAGTAAAGTGAATACTTATATTAAAATCATTTCTCACGGAAAAAAGCTTCCCTCTTACAGGCTGTTGAACAATTACCCACAGATTAAACTACTGCTTTACAGTTCCCTAAACACATAATCTTGGGCACTGATGAAAAAAAAAAAAAAAAATGCATTACTGGTTGGTTTTTTTAACCATAATAAAGAGAAGATAGAAAAACCATACCCATGCAAGAAGCAACAGATTTCTTTTCACTGTTCCACAGTATCCTAACATCCCCACAATGATAAGGAAACAGCAAACAGCGATCATGACCGGATGAACCACAGGAAAGTAAGTCAAGATGACAGCCTCCTCAACCCTGAAAAAAGAATAATGATGTCACATTACAAAGAAAATATAATCAAAAGGCACCTAAGACATGGTACAAGACACAATTGTGATTTCCTTTAATAACCGTTATCTCATCATGCCTCAAAGCTGGTAGCTGTATTGCTATTTTTAAAATCACTGTGCTATCACCAATGTGCCTGCTTGTTTTATTTTGTTTTGTTTGGTTTGGTTTTCTATACAAGCAGTACATTCTAACCTCAACTCTTTTGAAATATATGATAAAATAGGGGTCCTTAATAAAAAGTTGATCTACTATTAGCTCTGAAGCCTCAGCCTGACCAACCACAATGGGCCCTTCACCGTTTCCCAGCTGGGGAGTCTTCTCCCTCCTCTTCTCTGATCTGGGCTCCATTTATAGCACTTTCTCTCCAACAACTGATCTTTCCCGAATGTGATAGGGAAGTTGGTTTACAGTAAAAGAAAGAGGAAGGGAAAGAGATAATTTTTGCTAAAAACAAAAAACAATAACAAAAAAATCCCAAAACTATGAAAAAAATCATTAACTATAACCATAATAGGAAGAGTAATGAGAATAACAAAAATTACCATTACAACACTCCACTGTGTTAAAGATTTCACAAAAATGTATCTCAGTTCATCCTTAGGACATTTCAGAGTAGTAGAATATATTACATTCCTCATTCAGAGATGAAAAAAATTGAGGCAAGGAGAAGTTGAGTAATTTGCTCCTAGTGAGGTTAGTGACCAATCTTTTGAAATGTGAGAAGAATTAGAATTGCTGGGTTTGGTTTTCATTAGCTCAGGAATATAAAGGTAACAAGTTTAGCAGTGATTTTCACAGAGGAAAGTAGCTCTGCTGTCCTTTATATGTAAATATGGCAGAGCTGACACACTGTCAGGAGAACAGGAATATTCTCTTAGGACCATTGGCACACCTGAATGAAAATGCTAGGAAAATGCAAGCAGCTGTAACAAAGATTGCCATGGGCAGGGAAAACTTTCCCACTGAACAGAAGAGTAATACCCTCTAAATAGCTGAGGGCAAAGGTACCTAGACACTTGTGCCTAAAGAAACCTGATCAAAGCAATCAATCATTACTTCTACAGCCTACCTTGTTTCTGCAGTTAAAGTCAGAACATTATTTAGGTAGTCCCTCATCCAAGCAGAAACTGCCAACACACTGATGGACATTAACTGGAAAGAAAAAAATACAAATTTGTTATCAAGGATTTATGCAACAAATTGGTTACTGAGGATTTATGCAATATTCTCTGTCAGATTAATAGTTAAAAAATAAGAATTTTTCATCACATAATCATTATGCTTTTTCTTAATTACTATTTATTACCTGTTGGAATTTACTTTTACTTTAAATATCTGTCATTCCATTTTGGGATCACTATATAACCACTAAATAGAATGTTACCAAATAGGATACACATAGTTAAACTATTAAATGACTGCTACCAGGTCCGGGGTAGAACTTACACAAGATGACGAGGCCACAGAACAATTAAATTATCATATGTACAAAATGAGCCTAAAGTATGTCCTATATAAAAGCAAGGTAGCAATCAAAAACTATTGATATTGTCAAAAAAGGTCACAGGAGCTGACTTGGAAGAGTGTGCATTGGCTAAAGTTCAAATAATTTGAGCATCAAAATAATAGCAATAATAATGAATGTAATGGTTTGAAACATTAAATACGATGGAAAAGTATGAATTCATAATTACAGTTAAAAAATTCATCTTTGTAGAATGTTAGATACTCAATTCATTTTTCAGAAAACTGGTAAGAATCCAATATTTATCCTATTTTCCTATAAAAACTAAAGAACCAAAGACTTAATGAAAACTTTTATAGATGAATTTCTGCTAATATGTGAAGAAAGCATGATAAAGTATCACTATTTAACAGCCCCTTTTCTGAAATAATAAATTTCTAGGCAAGGATCCTTAATGGCTGCCAAAATTATCATGTTAGTGGTTCTGAATCCTTTCTATACATCAAAGTCACCTAGGACCCTGAAAAAAATTACTGAGCCCAGATGCCCCCTGGACCAATTGTTGAGAGTGAGGCCTGGGCACCTGAAATATATAAGCCCTCCACAGATGTTCCAACACCTACTCATGGCTGAGAACCACTGCATTACATGAAAGTTTAGAATGGAGAGAGCAGGATGATGTAAAATAACAGATCCCATTGATCAATCTTAGTCTCACAAAAAGAGACAACCAGATATAGTGTCTCCCAATGTGATGCAATGAGAAGTATATGAAGATACCTTTGAAATATTTTTACCAAAAAGTGAAACCTGAATCTAATCAAGCCCCCAGCTGTATAAGTTTATGGGAAATACAGGGAATAGATTTAAACTTCTTAAATGCCACCATGGGGATACAATCAGCAAAATCAAAATATGAGAAAATTGTAAGACAAATTATCTGATTTCTTCAATTTAAAAAATTGGCAAGTGAGATAGAAAGTAGAAACCATTATAAATGAAGAAAGATTTAAGACGTTACCCAATGCTACATGTTGACCTGGTATGAATCCTTATTCAAACAAACCAACAACAAAGAGACATTTATAAGACAGATGGGGATATTTTAGCATGACTGGATATTTGAAAATAGTAAGAAATTACTGTTTATTATTTTAGAAATAGCAATGATATTAAGGTTTTTTAAGAAGAAGATCCTTATCTTTTAGAGATATACACTAAATGGTTGAATAAATAATCCAAAAAGCTGAAGATCAACTCCTAAGTTCTGAGGGGAATTTTGATGTAAATTTTTCTAAAATGTGCCTTATACTAATCTTTTCAAGCACAATATAGTGAAATTCTACTTAATTTGATTTTTAATAATTTCTGGCACATTAATAAATATATCAATCACCATTATGTGTCACAGATTTAGCTTTAAATGCTAAAAGAAATAATGAATATACACAATAGGAACACGTTTGTATTGACTCAAGCCAAGGCCATGAAACATGTTCTCTGGAAAAAGGCTCCAAGGTAAGTTTTACATGTAGAGCTCTGTGACCTCTTGTATAGTGAGGCAGGACACCTGCTTGGAAAATCCATCAATCATTTCACTTGTCCTTCATTCAGTTGCAAATATTTACTTAACATGTACCATCTGCTTTTTACTCTGTGTGGTAGATTTTGAGACCTAACAATGAATATGAGAAGCAATATCCCAGACTTTGAGGAACCTCTTGTGGAACACAAGGAATAAATATATAAACCAGTCAATTACAACTGAAAAATATCATGAAACACAGAAAAGTGAGGTAACCTGTTCAAAGTCTTACAGACTCTAAGTCAGTGGTTCTCAACCTTCTTAATACCACGACCCTTTAATACAGTTCCTCATATTGTGGTGACCCCCAACTATAAAATTATTTTTGTTGCTACTTCATAACTAATTTTGCTACTGTTATGAATCACCATCGGAAATATGTGTTTTCCGATGGTCTTAGGCGACCCCTGCGAAAGGGTCGTTCGACCCCCAAAGGGGTCGCGACCCACAGATTGAGAACTGTTGCTCTAAGTAGTGGTGCTGGGATTCAAATCCAGGCCTTAGGAGCTTTACACTCAGTCATTAACTGCCTTCCAAGTTTAGGGACAAGCATGAGAAATTCAATGGAAAGTCAGGAGACTGGCCTGTAGAGCATGCAGGCTTCCTTTTCGAAAAGGGGTAGGGGCAGCAGAGGGAGGTAGTCTGCAGTGGCCAGGTTCAGTATGAATGTCTGAATTATATTCATTGGTGAATGGGGGTTCAGGAGCCTATGGCCCAAATCAGGTTAGGAACCCTGGGACCACAGTTCAGAGGAGAATTAGGCCAATTATCACTGCCCTCATTTCTGCTGGGAATGAAGAACAGATTGCAAGCCTAATAAAAGTTACACAGTGGATCAGCTACAGTGTACTAACCATGCTTCTCTTGCGTAAATTTGATGCTCTGCCATCTGTTATACATGCTTGTGCTGGACATGCCTTAGTCTGGACAAATTGATAATATGCCTGAATTACCTTGCCTGGGCCGCCTGCTTTCCACAAGCCCTTGGGAGGAGTCCTCCTCCTGGGATGGGCTTTTCATTTTCAAATACAAACCAGCCAATCCAGAGCCCACATGCCCAACTACCTTCTCACTCTGGGCCACTCTGCGCCTGTCCTAATCACTCCAAGATCCAGTGCCAGACCACTAAAGATAGTCCCTATACTCCAAAGCTGTTGAAATTATTCAAACTATCCAATCCAAAACCTACTTACCTTGCCTTGCCTATTCCTTCTCAAAGAAGCCACAATAAAAATACTTGCCTGGTCTTGCCACTTCTCTGCCAGTGATAGACCCCACTGCTTCCCCTCTTGGCCCGCTGTGATGAGACATGTAGTCTCTTGAGATTTGTGAGTATAATAAACTATTTTTTCAATTCCAGTCATTTCCCGATGTGTTGGCTTACCATGCCTAAATAATAATAGAACCTATTGAAACACACAGGGCTAGCAGGGGACCGTGGACTACCTAATGGAATCTGAGGCTATGTGTTCTCTCTCTACTTGGCTACATGTGGTCCTTTAAATACCTTGTAAGTTTTATGGCAACAAGGAAGTCTATTAATATGTTATTTTATTTAATTACCTCAAATTCTCTTACAGTAATAAATAATTCTCTCCTCTCTTTATCATTCTTCAAAGTAATAACTGGCCTTGGTTTCCCCACTCCCTAATTTTTAGCTAATAATAAAATCTATTACTATCTCAAGGCTGTTAAGCTAATTTTTAATATTACAGCTCTAAGATATCAAATAGTTATTAGATTATTTTGTATAATATATTATTAGTAGTTGTCATTATGCACAATTCTATTTATAACAGACAAGTTCACTTGTTATAAATGGCATATTCCAAAATATTTGGATAGAATGGTTAAGACATGGGTTTTGAAGTCATTCTTCCATTCAGAAAAATACGTATTGATCAGTTGCTCTTTGCCAGGAACTGTGTAATGTGGTGGAGATACACTAATGGGCAATAATTGACACCAACTCTATTCTATGGTGAAATTTACTAGGTGAAGAGGACACACAAATTAATCAACTCATCAGAGATATAAATGCATAACTGCAAACTGTAATAAGTGCTGGGGAGGAATAATACAAGTTGCTATAAGAACTCCTTTTGGGGTGACTGACCTATACCATAGGCTCAAAGAGAGCTGAGATCTGAAGGATAATTTTCAAGTTCATTAGGGAGGGTAAGGTTAAAAAGAACATTCCAGTCAGAATGAATAGTAAAGGTCCCAGGGTGGAAGGCATCATGATATGTTCAAGGAAGGGAAATTGGCAAGTGGTAAAAATAGAAAGCCAGACAGGGGCCAGATCACAGAATTTTAGAGGTCATTTTAAGGCACGTGAACTTAACCATAAGGACAATAAGAAACCATTGAATCGAAAAACCTTGGTTTTAATTCCAGGTCTGCTCCTTTTCAGCTATACTAACTATAGGTTGTCATTTAATCTTTCCTAAGCCTTGGTTTCCTCACATATGAAATGGTATAATAATAAGTCCAACTTCTTCATGGAGGATTTATGTAATGACAAAGTGAGTAGAATTCATATATATATATATATATATATATATATATAATCTATTACTATCTCAAGAAACTTTTGACCTCAGGAATTTCTCTTAAGCGTTTCAGTCAGCTTAAGAGACAATTCAACTGCAAAGTCAATCCAGAAAAGGAATCTTCATCTAGTTGAACATCTACCAAATGGGTGAGGGCAGAAGCATGGTGACATAGCTACCTACTGGACTTCTATGCCCATTCTCAATTTTAACATCTCTAAAACTGAACTAATTTCCATTTCTTTGGAAGCCTATGTGTTCTGCCCACTGTTTTTCCTACCTCAGTAAATGTATAATGAACGCTTCAATCACATAAACTAGCAACTTGGCAAGCAGCCTGAACCTCTCCTTCTTCCTCAGTCCTTCAAATATTTGCAAGTCCTACAGAGTGTCCTGCAACATGTCTAGTGAATCCCTCCCCTTTGCCTGCCACTCTTGACTAGTTCATGCCCTTAATCTCTTGCCAGGCAATTACAATTGCCTTATAATAGAACTCTCCAGCTCACAAAATGCACCTCAAATTTCCCCTTCCATTAGCTTTATAAAACAA